TTGAAGGGGAAAGGAGTCCAGGAGAGCTGGCTGTATTTCAAGGAATCCCTGTTGAGGTTACAGGGACAAACCATCCCAATGAGTCGAAAGAATAGTAAATATGGCAGGCGACCAGCTTGGCTTAATGGTGAAATCTTAGCGGATCTTAAACATAAAAAAGAAGCTTACAAGAAGTGGAAGGTTGGACATATGACCAGGGAAGAGTATAAAAATATTGCTCGGGCATGTAGGAATGTTATCAGGAGGGCCAAATCGCACCTGGAGCTGCAGCTAGCCAGAGATGTCAAGAGTAACAAGAAGGGTTTCTTCAGGTATGTTGGCAACAAGAAGAAAGCCAAGGAATGTGTGGGCCCCTTACTGAATGAGGGAGGCAAACTAGTGACAGAGGATGTGGAAAAAGCTAATGTACTCAATGCTTTTTTTGCCTCTGTTTTCACTAACAAGGTCAGCTCCCAGACTGCTACGCTGGGCATCACAAAATGGGGAAGAGATGGCCAGCCCTCTGTGGAGATAGAGGTGGTTAGGGACTATTTAGAAAAGCTGGACGTGCACAAGTCCATGGGGCCGGACGAGTTGCATCCGAGAGTGCTGAAGGAACTGGCGGCTGTGATTGCAGAGCCATTGGCCATTATCTTTGAAAACTCGTGGCGAACCGGGGAAGTCCCGGATGACTGGAAAAAGGCTAATGTAGTGCCAATCTTTAAAAAAGGGAAGAAGGAGGATCCTGGGAACTACAGGCCAGTCAGCCTCACTTCAGTCCCTGGAAAAATCATGGAGCAGGTCCTCAAAGAATCAATCCTGAAGCACTTGCATGAGAGGAAAGTGATCAGGAACAGCCAGCATGGATTCACCAAGGGAAGGTCATGCCTGACTAATCTAATCGCCTTCTATGATGAGATTACTGGTTCTGTGGATGAAGGGAAAGCAGTGGATGTATTGTTTCTTGACTTTAGCAAAGCTTTTGACACGGTCTCCCACAGTATTCTTGTCAGCAAGTTAAGGAAGTATGGGCTGGATGAATGCACTACAAGGTGGGTAGAAAGCTGGCTAGATTGTCGGGCTCAACGGGTAGTTATCAATGGCTCCATGTCTAGTTGGCAGCCGGTATCAAATGGAGTGCCCCAAGGGTCGGTCCTGGGGCCGGTTTTGTTCAATATCTTCATAAATGATCTGGAGGATGGTGTGGATTGCACTCTCAGCAAATTTGCGGATGATACTAAACTGGGAGGAGTGGTAGATACGCTGGAGGGGAGGGATAGGATACAGAAGGACCTAGACAAATTGGAGGATTGGGCCAAAAGAAATCTGATGAGGTTCAATAAGGATAAGTGCAGGGTCCTGCACTTAGGACGGAAGAACCCAATGCACAGCTACAGACTAGGGACCGAATGGCTAGGCAGCAGTTCTGAGGAAAAGGACCTAGGGGTGACAGTGGACGAGAAGCTGGATATGAGTCAGCAGTGTGCCCTTGTTGCCAAGAAGGCCAATGGCATTTTGGGATGTATAAGTAGGGGCATAGCGAGCAGATCGAGGGACGTGATCGTTCCCCTCTATTCGACATTGGTGAGGCCTCATCTGGAGTACTGTGTCCAGTTTTGGGCCCCACACTTCAAGAAGGATGTGGATAAATTGGAGAGAGTCCAGCGAAGGGCAACAAAAATGATTAGGGGTCTGGAACACATGAGTTATGAAGAGAGGCTGAGGGAGCTGGGATTGTTTAGCCTGCAGAAGAGAAGAATGAGGGGGGATTTGATAGCTGCTTTCAACTACCTGAAAGGGGGTTCCAAAGAGGATGGCTCTAGACTGTTCTCAATGGTATCAGATGACAGAACGAGGAGTAATGGTCTCAAGCTGCAGTGGGGGAGGTTTAGATTGGATATTAGGAAAAACTTTTTCACTAAGAGGGTGGTGAAACACTGGAATGCGTTACCTAGGGAGGTGGTAGAATCTCCTTCCTTAGAGGTTTTTAAGGTCAGGCTTGACAAAGCCCTGGCTGGGATGATTTAACTGGGAATTGGTCCTGCTTCAAGCAGGGGGTTGGACTAGATGACCTTCTGGGGTCCCTTCCAACCCTTATATTCTATGATTCTATTATTCTAAGGAGGTGGGGGAAGGTACTCTGCAACTGTGGGGCTTATTTCCAACCCCTTGTTATGTCATGTCTCTGGGGAGAGTTCTTCTGTAGTGGTCTCTCTCTGGGGTTCTCTGCTCATTGTCCCTTGTTTTGGCCCTATGACCCTCACTCCCATCCCTGTTTTTTCATTCTTTGTCTCTTTTGCTGTCTGGACTCTGTGGTTCATCCCCCTCATTTGAGGGGGTGGGCCTTAAATTTTGGATGGGCCTATGCCCACCTATCCCAGTATCTGCAATACGTCCACATCTTCCAACTTCTGCAACAGCTGAGGCAGGGGATCCTACAGACAACAGTATTCTTCATTCCACAACCCTTATTCATCCCCAGAGCACAATCTGTCCTGGACACTAAATGAGGCAGGGGGAAAACAGTATGTAATCATACAGTTAAATACTGTAATTTGACACAAGCAGGCTGAACTGAAGTTGTACAAGCAATTTTCATTCTGGCATTTCCTCATTTCTGAGTGCTTGACTTTGCAACCTTAGTGAAGTTCTTTTAACATAGCTTTTTTGTGTGTGTAACAAAATATATATATTGAGAAACACTCACTAAATAATCTCCAAAAATTATGTATTTATTTTACAAATGATAAGCAGAAAATTGTTTGGTGTTTTTTGACTGAAATTAAGGCCTTGTCTATACATTTTAAGCCACAGTCTAATCCTACAAATTCTATCTCACCTGAGTAGCCCTACTGAAGTCAATGGGACAACTTATGTGAATAAGAGTTTGTAGAACTGGGCCACATATTAGTATCTATTCAAAGAACCAGGCTTAAACATAGTTCTTGCTGGAGAGGTGCTAGCACAGGTCTGGAGCATCACCTCCTATGGAAAAATTCAAGAAGGGACACTGAGGAAGGAAATCTCCTTGCATAGGCCCTACAAGCAGGAGGGCGGGGCACTATGTTCCCTCTAAGCTGCGCAGTTGGGTGGCTGCCCAGGAGGGATTCAAGTGCTGCCCAGTTGATTAGCAGAGCGCACACATCCAGCAGTGTGTATTCAGGTGCCCCGGAATCCCACTGCTTTGCAGCCAAGTTGCTCCTGCAGCTGTACCTGAGACCCTCCTGCTGGCTGTGCAGAACAGGAAGAGGGAAAGGGGTGCTGATGTCAGGGTGTCCCCCCTCCCCCTGTACCCCATTTCCATAGAGTAGGGGAGAGGGGACAGCCTGGCTCAGGACTCAGAACTTCTGCGGTCTGAACACCTGGTGCTTCCAGGCGGTGAGTGCCTTTCTTGAAGAGACAGCACACGGTCTCTGAGACCTCCCCAGCAGCCAGCTCACACAGTCTGTCTGTCTGTCTGTCTCTCACACACACATACACACTCTCTCCCCCCTGCCCATGTACCCCATCTCCGCAGAGCCAGGGAAGGGAGACAGGGCTCAGGTCAGAGTGGGAGAGTTTTCAGTGAGTGCCTTAAAGAGACAGTGCATAGCATCTCTCAGAAACTTCCTCGGCGACCAGCACACATACAGTTTCTGTGTCACACTCACCTTCCAACATATACTTGTATTATTGTTGTTGTTATTTCTTGGTACTTCCTGCAATGCACATATATTCTCTGCAACTTTATTCTTTCAAAGTGTATTATTTTAGTGTTTTGAGTGGTTTATGCATTTCATAATTTTTATTTCTCTTACACTTAAATTTAATTCTTTGAGTAGTGATTTCTAAAATGCCTAACCTGTCCTGTCTGGAGCAATTATCCCTATGGTAACTTTTTAAAAATATATATCTAGTTTTTTTGTTTCTAGAAGTGGCACATATCCGCACATACCTTGTTGCACATAACAAAATTTATTCCGCACATGGATGGAAAAAATTAGAGGGAACATTGGACCGGGGCAGTGCTGCAGAGGTGATGGGAGTACTTTCTGCACAGGAGCCTGGAGATCCATGTGCAGAGGGTCCCCTCTTTGAGCACTTGGTTGGGGGAAGGAGGACACTGTGGGCTGGACTAAGGCCCAGATCCATAAAAGTGTGTATGCACCTCATCCCCAGATTTAGGTGCCTAAAGTACATCTATACAGCCTGTGGCAGCAAGCCTCCAAGCCCAAGACAACAAATTTGATCTCGAGTTACCGTGCTAAATGGAGCTGTGTAGATGTTGTGGCTCGGGCTGGAGCTTGGGATCGAAAGCCTAGGGAAGGGGTGGGCTTTAGAGCAAGAGCTGAAGCCTGAGACACAAATTAAAAGCGCTATCTACACAGCTATTTTTAGCACCATAGCATGGGCACCACGATCCCAAGTCTGTCAACCCAGGCGCAGATGCTCACTGCCACAGACTGCTGCTGCCTGTGTAGATTTACCCTCCATTTGGGGTTTAGGCGCCTAAATCCCAATTTTGGCTCAAATTGCGATTCACAAAACTCCCACCAAACCAGGTAGGCACTTAAACTCACTTGGCACCTCAGTTTTCTAAGTAAAAGTACCCTAGGCACCTCAGCATGTGCACTGCTGCCTCTCTCTAGGAGTTCAGTTACCTATCTCCTACCTAAGCCCCAGGCTGATTCACAACCTTGAGGAAGATAGGCATTCAGCTGCCTAAATTGTTTGCAGGGCCTGATCTGGTAGGGATGCTGTAGCTTGATCTATGGATTATGTATTAAATTATATTGATTACTTAAGAATTCCCAGTTATCACTCCGAGGTTTGAGCGTTCTTGTCCCAAGATCAAGCCCAGTATTATTAAAATTACTGTATAACTGGGAACTTCAATATGCACAGTTGCAACACGCACACTTTAGGAACCCTTCTGTATTTGTAATAGTTTATTAATACATTTAGCAAAGTCACAAACACGGTAATCAAGCAAGGTAGATAGAGATAATACAGAATGTACATCTGAACATCCATATACTCACACCATCCCTTGCAGAATAACCTGAAATGTTAGCCATTATCTTCCTCATCATCACCAGTGGCCATCATCCTGGCACCTCCCAAGGTCTACATCTCTCTCTCCTCCTGTACACAGGCTGGGATACAACTTGTATGTTACACTGATGCCACTATGCCTAATGTATATTCAGTAGGGGTTTGTCCCCTCTTCCTTATTTGTATTTCCTCACCCTACTAATGTTGGGATGGCCTTCTCCTATAAGTTAGTATATTAATGATCTCAACTTATTATCGTATGTCATTTTATTGCCATGGCACTTTTGTGGTCAGACATCTGCAGATGTTCCTATCCTAAAATATCCAAAAGCTGGTGTTAGCTCATAGTCTCATGTTGTCATGTACAAACTTCCCCCTTAAACACTCTAGTCCCAGTTCCTAAAACTTAGGCGTGACCATTGGGCTATTTATCTGTGCTAAAGTTAATGGGCCTCAAAAGCCTTATGCTAAATGCTGAAGCCAATGTCTTACAAAATACAGGCCTGTAGGCTCCTTGCGTTACTGCTCAATAAAATAAATGCTAATGCTAGCTCTCTGGGCTACCATGCTTTGAGGCTACATACTGGTTCAAGTCCTATTCAAAATCCAGCCAGAGGAGGAGATGGTACCACCTACTTTACAACTTTTACCACAGTGGTTAGAGCACTTGCCTGGGACATGGGAAATCCAGGTTCAATTCCATCCTTTCCGCAGAGAGGGGGGAGAAAATATTTACTGGGCAATGGGATATTCTCCTGTTGAAGCTGTTTGCACTAGGATGAGTAATGAAAGAGAGTGACTGGAATAAGATGACTGGACCCAGGGTTTCCCACCTCCTAGTTGGGTGCCCTTACGCTGGACTATAGAATCATTTTCACACATACTATTTCTGGCCCAGCAAGAGTTTGAGAATGACTCTGTAGGGAGACCCCTGTTCAATTCCCTTCTCCCCCTCTGGCAGAGAGGGCAGAATTGAACCTGGGGTCTCCATATCCCAGATGATTGCTCTAACCACTGTGCTAAAAGTTAGAAGGTGGGCACCTCCTTTCTCCTCCCCCTCCCATTTTGTGTGGAGCAAGACAGGCTCCTAAAGCCATCTGACTCTAGGTGGTGGGCTCCTGTTTATGGATCACTAGCAGAGCTAGGTGCCTATCTACAAGAGAGGGGTGGGGCTCACCCCCCCGCCCCATGGTTGGCATCTCCCATTGGCTGGCTCAGGCAGCTCTCGGCCTAGGATGCTGGTTTTGTGGACCACATTCTTAAGCACCTATGTCTCCCCATTCATTGTATTACTCCTGGGGGAATTCTGTGCCAATGTGCAATACAGATTTTAGCAGAAATTAATATTTTTTGCCCATAATTTCTTCCACGCCTCCCCCCCAAAATGGGCTGCAGTGCTGGGGCCACTAGCCCAGCTCACACATGGAAGACACTGCTGAGGGGAGGGGGTGGGAGCTAGAGGGTTCCAGGCAGCTGCAATTTCCCACATGCCCTGAGGGGAAAGAGATGGTGGCTTGCAGGAAACTCCACACAAGCCTGGGACTGAACATCAGGCTATTTCCCACTCTGGATCCCTGGGCTCTGAGGGGTAGGGGGACGAGTGTCTGGGCTGAGGGGGCCCTGCAGTTGGGCTCTAGAGGGCAGGGGGTGTGGGTATCTGGGCCAGGTATTTTTTTTTTTTGCCACCTTCCACCTTGCCCCCCCAGCTCTGCACATTGGTTCATTGAGGGGCAAATCCCAACGAGCCTTTGTAGACCCCAGGGGCCAGCCTGCCCACTGGCTTTGGCGGGCTTGGGCCACTGCAGCAGCTTGGCTGGGAGGAGCCGCCTTCCAGAGACACTGGAGAGCCAGAGCATCCAGCTTGCAGCAATGGTGAGCCCCAGCCATGGAGGAGCCGGCGCGGTGCAGCAGCTCTGCAAAGGCAGCAGCGCCGCTAGTAGGGAGCAGCCGCGCCCCCAGCCCAGGCTGCCTCCCGGCGCCCCCACAAATAGGGTTACCATATTTCAACAATCAAAAAAGAGGACCATCCACTCCTTCCCACTTCCCACCCCCTGACCGCCCCCCTCAGAACCTCCAACCTCCCCCTGCTCCTTGTCCCCAGACTGCCCCCTCCTGGGACCCCTGCCCCTAACTGCCCCCCAGAACCTCACCCCCTACCTAAGCCTCCCTGTTCCTTGTCCCCTGACTGCCCCCTCCTGAGACCCCACACCCTAACTGCCCCCCTAGGACCCTACCCCCTACCTGTCCCCTGACTGCCCCAACCCTCATCTAGTGGTTGCACAGGCCCTGGGCGGGGGTTTGGGTGTATTGGTTGTGGGAGGCATGGCTGGGCTCTGGGGGAGAGGGGGTGTGGGTATCTGGGCCAGGGGACCCCAACAGCTGGGCTCTGGGGGTGAGGAGGTGCAGGTAGCGGGGGGGAAGCACAGCCAGGCTCTGGGGGGAGAAGGGGTTTGGGTGTATTGGTGGGGGGGGGCATGGCTGGGCTTTAGGGGGGAGAGAGACTGTGGCCCCCAGCTGAGTTCCAGGGGTGAGAGGCAGAGAAACAGGAACTGGGTTGTTGTAGGGGTTTCTTGAACTCTCTACTCCTGGTGGAAGTGTTTTGTGCATCTGTAAGACATACTTGCTGACAGGTATTTTGAAATAAATTACCAAAATAATTGAAAGTGCCATCATTATGTAGTGTTATTTTGACAAATAAAGTGTGCAGAATTTTTATTTTTTGGCACCAAATTCCCCCAGGAGTAATTGTACGGGCACACAACTCAGCTCTGTGGGTCACAGTGTCATTCTTGTGGTTTGATAGGTGGCCTGATGCTCAGTGTTGTAACATCTAAGTCCCTTTGAGGATCCCACCCTCAGTTTGGATTTATACCTGTGTAATACAGACCACATGGGTGAGAGAAAATGATCAGAACAGTCCCTTCTGACTTGAACAGCTTTGATGGTGGCCATGTTTGCGATCAGGCTGGAACCATCTCAGTTCATTCTTGACAAGACTGTAGCTGTTGGCCTCAGTCCTACAGAGGCCTGGCGGCACAGGGCTGCGCACTGCAGCTCGCACCAGCATTTAGTCAACATAAAGAGAAGCAGTGGATCGGGCCCCTCTACACCCACGGCCCATGACAAACACACAACCCAGCGCTCACAGGGCACCGAGCCACATCGGGGCCATCTTGGCCTCATACTGTACTGCGGGTGGGACTCTGACCCCGCCCACGAGCCAGAGTGACGTCGCCACTTTACACCACAACCAGGGCGCTGCCACCTTGTCACGTGCAGCGCAGCCAGGCCCGCCGCGACCGTCCCTGCACTTTCAGCCCGTCGCCTCTCGACGGTGATTTCCGACTGAAACGCCGCCCCCACGCCAGGCTCCGAGCCCGCTTCACCTGAGCCGGGCTCTGCGGCGCGGCGCGGCGCCCGGAGTCACGACCGCAGTCTGTGGAACGAAGAATGGTGCGCAGAGCGGCCGCCGCCGACCCCGCCTCCTCTCTCCTCCCCGCCCAGGACACGTGCGCGCCTGCGCGCGCTGACCGTTACGGGAACGCGCGGCTGAGGTCGGTTAGGGACCGAAAAGCTCCCTCCGCCTCCTTCCCCAGCGCCCGCGCGCCGTGGTACTCCTCGCGCCCCGGCAGTTTGGGGGTGCCAGTACTCACGAGGTCCGAGTCTCCTGCGCACCCGCCTAGGCGCGAGATCAGCAGCCGGCTTATTAAACCAAGGACTGTGTTTGCTCACGCCCCGCACGCATGCGCGTACTTCTTAAAAGAGCCGTGCGGGGCACGGCTGCTTAAAAGGGCGAGGCGGGCATGCCCCGGTGGGGTTCGTGCGGACGGGTTAAGGCCGAAGTATGGGGGAAGCTTCGCCGCTATGGTGGCGAGCGGTCCCGCGTGGGTGTACGGGAGCACTTCGCTTCACTTCGTCACTAGCGCGCGTGGAAACCCAGCCCCCTTTGGAAACCGGGCCAGAATTCTGCCGTAGGCTGGGCAGGGGCGGCGAGAGAGCTGGTTCCCGGCAGCTCTCTTTGTCCGGCGCGCCGGGGGGGCGAACCGGCTCCCAGCAGGGAGGATTTGTGTTCGCCCGACGCTCACGGAAAGTTTTTTGTAGAGAAAGGCAGGGGGTGAGTTTGTAACGAAAATGGCAGGGGAAGGCGTATAATTATTGTGCGCAGATATGACTGTGTGCACTGAGCAGGCAGTGAAACGCGAGGGACGGCCATGTGATTACACTTACCAGCTGTGCACCACGTTCACGGGTGTGCTGTGGGGCAGGAGACTGGCATGCCAATTGACGTGACCTCTGTCACCAGAAGAGCCTGGCCATTCTTGTGTGTTGGCTCACAGCTTGCAATGTGTTATTACTTTTACAAAATCAGTTCCAGAACTGCAAGCACTGGGTGTAACTGCATTAGGTGAGATTTATCATCCAATTACTACAAAAGGAGTGGATGCATCCATTTGAGGAATAGGTATATTAAAAATGGCCATATTATTGTGACATCAAGATCATGCACCAAATGTCAAACCTGATTGCAAAATGTAGGGAAAATTGCATATAATGTATCCTACAACTCCTAATAATCTAGGATAAAATTACATCCTACTGCTCACAAATGAGGAAGTTTTATAAAAGTACCATTTTGAGAAGTGCAGTTACGCTATATGCCATCACTTTTCTGTGGTTGAAGTCACTTGTGGTGTGTTAGTATCCCTCATACTCGTCAGGTACATTGCCATGCTATGCACTGTACAAATCCAGATAAAGATAGTGATCCCATTGTGTGTTTGATTGACTGTTCTGGTTAAAAACTGCTGAAAAATTGTGTTTTTGATGCCAAGGGGGCTCAAGCAGCATTGATGCCATATAGGCATTATAACACTGTAACTCAGTGATATGTTTCAGTGGCTCGCTATCCAGGGGAAATGTGGTCTGACCAGGGGTGTGGCCAGTGAGTTCATGCAAAGCACAGACCCATTGGACTATACAACCACTTCAGAGTGTACATTGACCATGCCATTGGCTGTAAGAGCAGCTATAGCCTGACTTCATAGAGCTTGGGATTGATGATTTCTCACCCTCAACCCTCACATAGCTGCAGCCAAAGCTCTTTATTCCAGTTTTGCCTATGACATTAGAATTGAGGCCTAAGTGAACAGTTTATATTTGTGCCACCTTAATGTAGAATAATGTATGTGAACCAAGCATGCTAATTAGTTTAATACAGTGCAAGGAATTTTTTAGGGCTGGAGATGCTGGTATAGTATTAAACTGGTATGTCATGTAAGTAGGAGAGCTATATAAAGTAAATTAATTTTCTCATTGTGTAATAAGAGTATAGCTTCTTATTGCAGGCAGAATTACGATTGTTATATCAGAAAACAATGTTACAACTCGTATAAGTAAACAGGAAAAGATTACGAGATCTCTATTAATGGAAAACACTCTATTAATTTGGAGGTGCTATATCTCAATGACTAGTGGTGATAGAAATTAAACTAGGCAAAGGTATACGGTACATGCAAATATTTAAATAATGATCCTGTCACTCAGTGATAAGGACAACTCTTTTGTGGATTTTTTTTTAATGGAAACACACACAAAGGCATATGATATATACAGAGTGTAGCTTTCTTCATGTAACCAGGTCAGCTATTATATAGTTCACATTATAAAATCTGCATTAGGGTTAACAGGATTTAATTAAATAGTATATTGATTTCAATCCATGAAAGAAATGATTTTTTCATTTTTCTACCTCACATTTTCAAAGGAGGAAAACAAAATCTAATGCATGTTTAAGAACTAGCAAATTAGAAATCATTTGAGACAGCTTTAAAGAAATCTTTACAAGAGGCACTTTCAGAGTTATACTGTTGGCAGTTCCTAGTTCATCTGAGATCAACACATTAATCTGAGCTCCTTCCAAAGCATACATTCTTATCTTTAATAATAACTGTATTTGTAACTGCTTGGGGAAATACATGGACAATTACAATTTAGAGAAAATAATGTTAAGGGCAATTATATTGAAGCAAATAGAATAGATTACTCGTATTAACACATAGCATAATGCAAGTATAGCAGGTTTATTAAAATATACTACATTTTCATAAGGGAAATATGGGCTGTTTTGGAAAATGGATTCCCGCCACAAAAATCACAGTAAATGACAAACATCAGCAAAATTCCCAGGATATTTAAGTAACTGAAAAGATTAGTCAACACTCCACCAGCACCTTCATTCCACCAATGCTTAAGAGATCCCTTGCAACATATCTATCCTGCTCAGTTGCATTTCAGGAGAGTGGCTTACCATACCACTTGCATAATGGGTCTTGAACATTCTTGGTGGTGGAGTTTAACTAATGTGCTATGTTTCTGGCATATAGGTTTACAAATAGGTGTCATCATATCTCAGCTGCTCCAACCATCAAAAAAGTAAATTGGTGTAATTCTAATAATATAAAGATTGAGTGGAATGAAGCTGTGGTATCTCTCTTAACCTGTTCTGTAACAAATACCAAACAAATATTTGTGTAAATTTATGAATGAAATGGCAATTCACAAGAGAAAATCCATGTGGTTATAAATTAAGAAATCACGCATAAACTATAACCCATCATGTCCAAAACAGGTGGTTGTGTGCTTTAATATATCTACTACATCCTGGCTCTTGGGATTATCCACTCATTGCCCCCAACTGTATTCTTTTGCATTCAGGGATTGGAAATAATTTACACTTTAATCTATTTGGGAGATTGAATTCAAAGCTATTATTATTCCCATATCCGCCCATTGTTCAGGGGCAACTGGCAACACAGTGGTGAGTACCAGGTATCCTCCACTCAGCAGTGTGGGATATGTGGTCTGTAGGCAGCAGGATGGATATAATCTTACAATCAATTTTATAGTCAGAGGTAGAATAGAAAAGACTGGTGGCTTGTCTGCATGAACTATTAGTTTGCAGCAGGCTG